TTAGGTGCTTGTAATAATTATGAACTATTAAGATATTATCATGTTAAGGCACGTGATTTTACGAACTAGCAGAGCATTAACAGAGCACCTTAGCGCTTAACAAATTAGATTCACACAACAAGATGTTTAAACTTGTGTAAGTGGCATTTTTGAAAACCAATTTTGAATTTTTGAAATCGGTGGAGCAGTTTTAAGAAGTAGTTGACATAAGATTAAATTTCGGCTCAAACACACACAAACGTTTTCCATTTTGAACAGTGACTTGAAACGTCGAAAAATCAGCAGTCGGATTTTCTAGCAAAAACCATTAACTGTATTCAAAATTCCGTTGTCCTGAAGTTACTTACTTGCCAGAAATTCCCCAGCTGAAAATGTAAATATCGGGAATATATTTGGATCGAAAACTATATGAATACCCGCATTATTGCTAAAATAAAAACAAATCAAACGGAAGATTGCAGACCTGAATCGGCTAATGAGGCGCAAATCAATCCTATTGCTTGACAACAAGTTATTGATATATAATCTGTAATAAAGCCCATCTGGACCTACGGTATAGAGCTTTGGGGTTGCGCAGCATGTCCACATTGTTTAATGCAACGGATGCAATCCAAAATCTTAAGGCAGATCACCGACGTACCTTGGTACGTAAGTAATAAAGTCATCCATGACGACCTCAATATTCCTTTTATTAAGGATGTAATTAACAGCAGACGTTCAATCCATCACTCCAAGCTAGAAAACCATCCAAAATCATCTACAGCACATCTACTTATAACTCCGTCTACTAGAAGGTCGAAGGGAAAAATTCCTTTGGAACAGTTTCGCGGATTATTTAGTTATATTATAATTTTACCTTTAGTTTTAATTATGTTATGAGTTGTAATTATTATTTTTTATTTAAACTTTATATATTATTTTAATTATAGTTTCCTTCTTATATCAGCTCTAGAACTCATAGAATCATTCTTGACTCTGATTGTTACAATTAATGAAATAAAAAAAAAACGTCGACAGTAATCCAATATCGCGAAAAATATTGATTAAATGAATCTAAGTAAAATTTTAATAAACGAGTTGCAAAGGATTTTCTCCTACTGTATGCTTTCTGCAGGTATCAGTAAAATTCTATATGACGTCAATGTTTACTTGATTTCTCGTAAATATGTCGATGGAAATTGTACATAAGAATTTAATTGCAAAACATAAAATTGATAAAAGCATATTAATAAACTGACATGAGCACTCACACGTAGCGTGTTAGTGAAATCTCTTAGTCATTCGATAATTTGATTTTGATTTTTTGCAGTAAGACTTCATTTCAGGTCAAGCTTATAATAATAATCTATTTTATAATAAAATAATAAGATATAATAATTAATTCGATACTACAAAAATCAATACTTAAGTGTGCTGAATTATTTTTGAACAAATACTAAAACTGACAACACCATAAATCAGCGGTTTTCAAACTTGTGGGGCGCGCCTCCTAGGGGGCGCCAGGCTGTTCTAAGGGGAGCGTACATCTGTTCGAAAATACTATTTTTTCAATTTTAATAACCCAAAATATTTGCAATAATATTAAAAAATAAATAAAATTAATTAGTTTTTATCACATGTTAACATAATATTGCATATAATTTGTATTCTGAAATATCAGTTGAGTATTTATAAAATTAAATTCTTCAAAAATTGAAGGAGGCCCAACAAAGTTTTCATTAAAGCGGTGGGGCAAGGTGCAAAAAAATGTTGGAAAACCACTGCCCTAAATGTTAAATAATATGAAGGAATCATGTAAGCAAAACTGACGGCTAATTCTTGAAGTAAGAACGTTGATCAGAAACCACTGATTCTGGGTTCGAAGCCCACTTTGACCAGCTTAAAATCAAGCAGCAGTGATAACAAATTTTCAGTTTGATATTATAAGCCTTAAATATGATGCCAAGTGAAAAGCGTCCATTAATCACGTGATCGATTTTCAAGGATTTTTTAACTCCCCCTCCCGCTTCCAATACGTGGTTATATTCAAAATTACCCCTCCTTCCCAACCTCATGTATTTTCAGTTGCGAGAAAAAATTGTTAAATTTTTGTATTTTTTTTTAAAATGTTTCGATTTTTTTTAAAAAAAATATGTAAAAAAATAAATACACGTAATACCTTCGAAACCTCTCAAATGCCATTACTTTACTGACCAAGATGTCCAATATATTATATAAGATTTGCATCAGATTCATTAAGAATTTAAATAAACTTCAAGTACCAGTGTATTGAGACCATCGAAATGTGTCCATCATTACCATGACTAAGAATATTGGGTTTTACAGACTTCTGTTTCTCTTCCTCAAGGTAAAATCAACCCAATCGTCAACAAATATATATAATACTCGTACAAAGATTCTCAACATATTGCAATTCCAATATGAAAATAGATGGATACTGGAATCAATAAGATTGGAAATAAATATAATAATTTAACGTAATTTGTATCTCAAATTTGATGGAAATATTATTTTTACTTTGTAGCCGCCACGTTTTAGATAGATTTGCGCTAAAATAAATTAAGGAGAAAAACAATTTTTTTCACGAAAATTTATTTAAACTTGCACACAAAATTTTGTATTATTGGACTAACGTTAATATTTTCATTGCCTATAAGCAGAGTAAAAGAGTATTATATTTTAATAATGTAATACTAAAATTTTGGGGTTAATAATTCATAATTAATATTTAAAAAAATCATTATTTTTGCAAATTGCGCTATAAGGGTTTAAAAATTTTTAGCATTTTAGAAGTCAAACATATGCGTATGAGGCATATTTATTACTATATAATATATAAATATTATATTAAAATAAAGGCATATGGTTGCATATTAATTACTTATCTTGCACTAAAATAACAAAACAAACATATAAATATAAATTTAATTAAATATCTTCCGCAAATACTGTACTTATTACAGAAAAGGTGAAGAAGCAAAAAATGTGTTTATAAAAAAATAAATATTGTTATTTAATGAATAATAGTCAAGACAAAATTTTATTATAAAAGTCATATTATATTTGATACTAAATGTAACAAAAAACTGATTTTAGTTTGGGAAGTGATGTGACAAACTACATAATTTTATAATTTTGTTTATTAACTTCGAAAATCGAAATCGAAAATGAAAATTTTGCAATTTTTTTTTGCATAGGGAGATGTGCTAATTAGTTTTTGGCAAAGGCAGTCCAGCCGTTTCAGAGATACAGAGAAAAGAGTGCAGAAAATAGAAATCGAGTTTTTGAAAAAACGGAGTATCCGATTTGAATGATTTAAAAAACATTCGATTGTAATGATTGGGAGAAGAGGTGATTAGTTTTTGGCAAAGGCAGGTTCATCCATCTAAAGATACAGAGCTAAATGTGCGAGTGGCAGTTTCTGAGAGAACTAAGCGTCCGATTTGAATGATTCAAGAACTTTCTGCCTGTTTTAACAAAATAATTGCTTTTGGAAAAAAAATTTGTTTCAATTTTTTAAAAAAAAAAAAAATTCATATTTCTTTTTGTATATCAAAAATAATTCAGTTTCAATTTTAATTCCTACTATAGTTCTATATACTTTAAACAAATATTTTTAACTTTGCAATTCAGTTTATATAAGTAATTATTATAAATATCAGACAATGTTACAGTATTTATAATAATCTATTTGAAAACATTTAATATTCCTCGAACATTTCGTTACGGTACGGGAAGTTCCAGCAATTTGCCTTAAGGCACGATGCCGTCCACCACTAGTATTTAAAATTGTATTTCAAAGTTTATGTTCATTGTTTTAATACAAAATAAGGTGTATTTTTATGCGGTCTTTCTGGTATAAAATTGCTAAATGATGGCACGCATATAGTATCAAAACGTACAAAATAAGCTGAAAAATCTCAAGAATATGTTTCGATGAAGATAAACAAATCTAATGTATATGTGAAGGATGTTTATACATAACGTAATAATTCAATAGCTTATAATTTGATATGTAATATGTTCTTGTTTTCCTGAAAAATAAATATCAAGTTTCCAGCAGGAAAACAAAATATAGTCGAGATAAATTTATATCAAAAAAAGTTGGTCCAAAACTTATAATTTTTTGGGATATTAAAGTAAGATAAAGAAACTGTTATTAAAATTCATAGAATTTTCATTGACTTTATTCCAACAATCTCATACCACTAATCCCATATATGTACACATATTTAAAATGATAGGTATAAGAATCAGAAATAATTGAAAAGATTTTAGAAATTTAACAGTTTTAGAATCTCTGCTTGGAGTGCTATTGTGCAGACTTTCGCGTTATAGCAGAGTCGCGGTGAATACGATATGCTGCTGTATCTGACCCGCTTTCGAAATGCCCGAAGAAAACCAGAAGAGATGTCTTAAAAAAATTTGCTCGAAAGGGGGGAAGCTTGCGAGTAGGTACAAGTGCGCGCGTTTGCTGACGTTTCAACTTAACTGCAAAAGTACCAAACACTTTCACATTTCATTCAGGTGACTAATATTATTGCAATAACATTTTTTAGACAACCAACAGATTTTTGCGTAAAATGTAAAAACACTTAATCATTCGAAAGTAGCATACATATAAAACCTTAGCATTGCACAAAAATTATGACAGTATCGAAAATTGAACAGGAATATAAAATTGACGTTAAATGAAATTATGTTATCTGAATACTGCATTAAATCTATTCTATTATATTTAATACTAATTACATGTAACTTATAATTTTCAATAGCATCATAAATAATATTACAAATGACAAATAACCAGTAACTGCAACCATGTTGTATTAAGTTTATTACTCCTGTCAAGCAAGAAATGAATGGTCGCTACCCAAAAATGGCAATAACTTTAAAAATATATATATTTTTAAATATATAATTAAATAATATATATTTTTTAATATATATTTTTAAAGTAACTAAATTTCAAGTTCTAATAACTAAATTTCTAAACTCACCGAAGCTGCATAATGATTTTTTCCTAGCACCATCGTGACAGATTTTATCAACACTCACAAAAAACACAAATATTATTCAATATAAAAATATAAATTTTAAAATTTATAAATTGCTTTAGATGTCTAAATGCCTGCATATAAAAATTATTATAAAACACTAATCGAATAACTAAAACGGTTCAGCCAGTGCTCAACCATTGATTGTTTCAAACTGAATGATCAGTGAGTAGTAACGGAAAGGAGCTGGCGGAGCACTTCTTTGGGAGATCACTCTTCTAATTTTGTAGTTCGCGCTTTTTAGCATAGAGGGCAATACCTCTGTAATGTGAAATTTGACGTCTGCATAGCTTCCTATAAATATTATTTTTGATTATGATAAATATTATTTTTATTATGTCATGTTTAAAATCTTTACGGCTTCGTTGAAATAATATTTTTACTACTCTTTCTTGATAATTTTACTTGCTAAACTTATTATTTCCAATTCTTATTTTAATTTCATTACTTCTTAGTTCATTCCACAACTGAATGCGATTTTCATGTAGTTATATTACATAATATAATTAATATATTTTTTATTGAATATATCACATTTCAAATTTAATATATGCACATTCTTTTTTAATTTCATTACTTCTTAGTTCATTCCACAACTGAATGCGATTTTCATGTAGTTATATTACATAATATAATTAATATATTTTTTATTAAATATATCACATTTCAAATTTAATATATGCATAATTAATATGAAATATATAATATACCGTATTGATTCATAACCAGTTTTTAAGCGAAAAATTCATTTAATATATAATATATTATATCATTGATAGCCGTAGCAAACATACTGATTTTAAAAAAAGTTTATGTATAAATAAATAAATAAATAAATATATATATATACATATATAACAAATATTAATTTAGAAATATGAACAAACACCACTATTTTGTGCACTAATTTATTAAATAATATTAATTTTACAAACGTTTTGAGACTAGGTTTGTCTCATCATTAGTGTATTATAATTTAAAATCTAAAATAGCATTATGTGTTATCCGTTGCAACTTGTTCTTACTAATCAATCATTAAGAAGAACAAGTTGTAACGGATAACATATAATGCTATTTTAGATTTCCATATTGTAGATTTTAAATTATAATACACTGATGATGAGAAAAAGTTAGTCTCGAAATGTTTGTAAAATTAATATTATTTAATAAATTAATACAAAAAAATATTGCTGTTTGTTCATATTTTAAAATTAATAATATTATATATATATATATATATATATATATTATATATATACTTTTTCACATGGTAATAAATATATTGATTAAACAAAATACTTCTTAACCAGCATCCATCCAGATAATAAAATAGAAATTAATCTAAAAATGTTTCTTAAAATGAATTTCGAGTCCCCATGAATATTTTATATTCATCCTTGATTCATATATTTCGAGTCCCCATTTGACTATTTCTTAGTAAATACAAAACACGTATGTTATTAAAATATAAACACAAAACAAAATCATGGTCAATAAAAATATTCCTTTGCATGACTCTAAGTCGTGCTTGATTTTCAAGATGTGATGGTCAATGTTATTATTTTTTCATTTATTGATTTATATTTCACTTGTAATTTTGCAATAACTTTGCGAAGGAATATTATCATTTATCATGATTTTGTTTTGCGTTTGTGTTTTAAATATATTTCTCATTTTACCTTCTTCAAATAATGGCCTAAAGCAATTTAAACTGAAAGAAAATGAAACTAAATAAAAAAGGCTTTTATATTTTAAATACAGCTAATTTATTTTGTATTCACAATAGCTATATTATTGGCATTGTATTTAGATTTACTTATAGTCAATAATAATATATTAAATATCCTAATCATACTTACATTTTTTTGTTCTTTTACTTTAATTCGTATTAATTAAAACAAATAATCATAAATATTCATGTCAAATGATTTCTTAAAATATACTAGCACAGATAGTTATTATATATACAAATATACAAATGCAAACAGCGAAGGCCATGTACACATTTATTTTAAAGTATAATGCAAATTTGTATTCCTCTTTAGGTAGTTGCTCACGCTCGTCAAAACATTATTACACTCATCAATTATTTAATCTAAACTCAAAAATAACTTGTTTTACATTTTTATTTAACACAGCCTAGCTCATCCCTCTTGCCTTTCAATTATATTGTACACGACTCCCAGAACTATTTACATTTACTAGTAGCTCTCATAATTTAAAAATGTGCTTTGAAAAACAAAATTAACTCTATTATATAAAATCATTCTATATATTTTTTATATCTCTTGTTAGGAATATCTATACAATGAATTCTTAAACATTATTTTAGAATATAGATTATGCCTGTCTAGAGACATTTATATAAAAAATCTTCATATATGAATATAATACATAAATACAAATATAAATGTCATTCCTAGTATGTTATATATGAATGACATAACATATTCTGAATATATGATTATTTCATATGTAGTTATGATACATACATGCTACTAAATCATGATTTTGTTTATAAAATATTAACTTAATACTTGTTACTCATAATTTCAGTCACTATGATTTTTCTAAGTACTCCACTGGGTCAAACAACTGTTCAAATTACTATAAAACTTTTTAACTAAATTTTTATAAGCCAATCATAATCTTAAACATGTATTAAACATATAAATCAACAAATTTAAATAATTAATGCTTACTACATATAAATAATAAACTAATACAAAAATCTATGGAAAAATACAAAATATTTACAATTTACTTGTGCACATTCATGTGAGAAACACCATCTTTCTATCTAATATTAACACAAGAAAAATATGTATCACACCCACAATATTACATGGACACAATATAATTACTATCCAAAAAACATGTGATTCCATTGCTTAAAATTGCAACTATTAAGAGTATTTAGAACGTAAAAATAAAAACAAAAGTATTTGAAAGTCATCAATAGTATAAAATTCTATATTTTATTAAATCTGCTCTTCAAACTAGAATATAATATATACAATAATTTAATTATCTAAAGTAATAGTCTATGCATCATGATTATTTAATAAAATTACCATGGCCTTGATATCAAATTAATATCATTTTGAATCATTGCAAAAACCAACATCTGTACAATTGGTACATTATTCATAATTTAATATAAGTTGCAAAATGTTTTTCAATTAACTAATCTTGTATAAGTTATTTATATTATCATACTTACAAAATGTTTCTTTTATAACACAGCACTGTACAACCTTTGTTCCACTCACTCGCATACTAACAATTTATAAAGTCGGGATAAAATTGTAATTAGCACTCACATCACTAAAGTTGATCAACAAATTTGGTAAGCTGCTCTTGAGGGGTCATACCTGGTAGGTCAGTGAGATCTGATTGGTTAGATTGAATAGATGGGGCAGGTGAATGTGTAGGATTAAGCATGGCATGAGGTGAAGGAGAAGGCTGCTGTTGGTGCCCCCCGTGGGGAAGCTGAAGGTACAGCTCTAGGAGAAGGTGTTGGCTGGGGAGAACGAATTGGAGGCGGCGATCGAACAGCTTGCTGTTGTTGCATTAGTTGTTGTTGAATTGCATTGTGAGTTGGTGGGCCCATCATGCCTAAAATGAACATAAAAACCATTGCATTTAAATTTCGTTCATAAAACGTTAATATATCTACCTGTTAAATCTACCAGGTAGTCGCTGTTTTGCAAAAAAAAATTTGTTTTTGATATTTCATACAAATGTGATACTATTCTAGAGTAATAATATATATATATATATATATATATATAATATATATATATATATATATATATTCTAGAAGTTTATGCTTTCATAAAAAAATTGATGTTTTCTCGACGTTTCAAGACGTTTTCTCAAAAACGGCTGGACCAATTTCAAAAATTTAAAAACCATTCAATGTATCTCGATGAGAACTAGCGTTTGTCTGTTTTGCGCAAAGATCGGCCAAGCTGTTTCTTTGTAAATAGCAGAAAAGTGAAAAAGTTTTTGGCCACTTTTAGCTCACAATCCTAAATCGGTTTTGAAAATTCAAAAAACGTTCGAATGATATTAGTTGGGAATCAACTGATAAGTTTTGAAAGATTCAATGGCACAATTTCTTATGATTTTTTTGACGATAGATACCACGGTCTTATAGATAATACTAAAATATTACAGCCCTACGACAAGTCCTTTAACTTAAAAAATTCGTTAAAGTTTAAAAAAAATTAGTAACGTTTTTTTGGCGTTTGTCAAAGATAGACCATTTATCGACGTTTCCTCAAAAACGTCTGAGCCGATTTCAAAACTAGTTGGTTGGTATTTAGCCTTGAGGCAAGTTACATGAACTTCCCGATATATTTAAATAATCGACTAATTAAAAAAATAAATTAATTTATGAGTCATTAAAAGTATTCCGAGTGGATTATTACACATAATTGAAAAACGAACGAACACTTGACTCGGAGTATTTTCTAAAAGCAAATTTTCAAAAATCAACAATTTTTATAATTGAGCCAGTTTCCAGGACTTTAATGGTTTATTATGTTCAAGACCAAGTACTCTATCATTTATACCAAGTAAATAGTCTAATTTTATTTTTAACAAACGTCAAAAAAAAACTCCTATTCTCAAACCTTGATGAATTTTTAAAATTAAACTACTTCTATAAGACCATGATATATAATATCGCAAAAAAAGTTCCATAAAAATCGGCCTAATTTTTTTTTCAACAGTTAATTACAAGAAAACGGCTCGGTAGATTTTCACCTAAAACTAATCAGTATCATTCCCAACTAATATCTTTCGAACTGTTTTTAATTTTCTAAACTCGATTCAGCAGTTTGAGCTTAAATGTGGACGAAAGGTTTAACACTTTTTCCAAATTACAAAGAAACGGCTCGGCCGATCGTCACACAAAACTGAGAAACGATAATCCTCATCGCGATACATCAAATGCTTTCTAAATATCTGAAATCGGTTCAGGCGTTTCTGAGCAAACGTGGATGAAAGTTCTAATTTTGACAAATGCCAAAAAGACCATACCAAATTTTGCAAACTTTGACGAATTTTTAAAGCTAAACCAGTTGTCGTAGGGCCGTAATATTTTAGTATGATCTAGAAGGCTATGGTATCTACCGTCAAAAAAATAATCATAAAAATCGTCGATTTTTTTTTTTTAACTTTATTACAAGAAACGGCCCGGCCGATCTCTACCAAAAACTAATCAGCGCCATTCCCAACCAATATCTTTCGGTTGAAATTGCGATTTTGAATTTTCAAAATCGATTCAGAATTGCGGGCTAAAACGTAGACGAAAATTTTTTCACTTTTCTGCGATTTATAAAGAAACGGCTTGGCCGATCGTCGCACAAAATTGACAAACAATAGTCCTCATCGATTTACCATCGAGTGGCTTTTAAATTTTTAAAATCGGTCCAGCCGTTTTCGAGAAAATGTCGATTTACGACAAAAAAATCTGTTCACATACACGCACACACACACACACACACACATACCTTTTCCAAATTCGGTCTCATTCGATTCAGAATGGCTTGAAACGTCGAGAAAACATAAAATTAGCAATTCGGATCTTTTATGAAAACATAAACTTCTCCTTCGGGAAGTTAAAACTTAAAAAACCATTTTAAGTAACTTGATAACACTATCATTTCTCACTTTTGAGCCCTATAGTAAGTAGTTTAATTTTTGAAATTCATCAAAGTTTAAAAAAATAGTCAAAATTTGTGTCAAAAGTAGCTTTTGTGATATCAATTTTTTCAATTCATTAGAATTTGGAACCATAATTACAATATATATGAATACTATATTTTTGAAATAAACAGTTCAAAGTTTCACCTAAATATCTTAAATTTATATTTCGGTTGATTAAGTCAATTATAACACATTTCGGAAAGTTCATTCAACTTCTTTCAGGCAAAATGTCACTTTCAAATAGTTGAATTATTTATGTATTCAAAACATTAATAACTTGTATGTAAAATTATAGTAAAATTTTGTTTGCCTTTTTTAGTCCCTTCAATAATCACATAAAATCCAAGACTCTAAACTGGAAGACTCCTTTGGTAATAATGTTTATCACAAAATAAATTAAAATTATTATTATAAGCTATGTATATTATGAAAAAAAAATAATTTGTAAAAATTTCGAAGATATGGTTATTGTACCAAATTTCTCACAGTGCTTTGTTTGGATCCTTTAGTTTTTGTGAATATATGTGCATTTCCTTATATTAAATGTAAAATTCATTACTAATTAAGTAAAAAGCAATTAAATTAGAATCTTACCTTGTGGTGAAGGAGTTTGTGGAGGAACTGGTTTCATTCCCTTGCATATTGTATTGTTGTTCAGTTGGAAAAGCATTCTGGTAAGAGCCAACTCCTCCAAGCTGTGCAGGCAGTTGCCCTCGCGACCTTTGCTGTGGATATGGTGGAGCAGCAAAGTTCCGCCCTGCTGCTGCTGCTGTTGTTGCAGCTGTTGTCGTTGTTGCAACATCATCTGTTGCTTGAACCACTGTTGTTGTTGAACATTCATTTGATTACCTCCCTGCAAGTGAAAATAGCAAACTTTTAGCAAATAGCATTTGGTAAAACTGAATAAATAAAAAATTATAAAAATGTGTCATGCATTCATTGAAGTGTAATAAAAATATTGAGAAAGCTATAAGAGTTGAATGAATAAGATGTAAAAATAAGTTTAAAAAAATGTTCTATTCTGAATTGGATGACATATTCAATGAAGACCAAACAACATTTAGAATACTGCAATACCATTACGTAATCATCATCTGCAAGTGGGTGCTCATATGAGTTTAATTTTAAGTGCATTGAGACATGCGAAACAAAATATACTACAATTATACTAAAAATAGACAAAAATAACATTTTTCACATTGTTTACAAAGGTATTCAAAATTTTCTTACCATTCCTTGATGACCTTGCTGCTGTCCTTGTTGTTGTAGTATGTTAGGAATCTGCATTCTATTTGATCCAGGCTTCATACCTGCATTCATACCAGGTTGTCAGTAACATGTGGATTAGGACCTTGTGGAGTTCCCACCATATGTTGCCCAGGCTGCATCCCTTGTTGAGAGACAACTTGCTGTTGCTGTTGTTGCTGACCAACTTGATTAGCCAGAACACCAGAGTTATTTCCAACTACCCCATTGTTTTGAGCCGCCTAAAATAAAAATCAATTGTGTAAGTATTCTATTCATAACTGAGATATGACCACAAAATTTTTTTTTATCAAGATTGTGCAAAAGTGTTTGAGCAGCACATTTAACTATTCTACTGTGAAGTATGTGTTATAATTATATCAAATTATTCATTATATTATCTGAATTATAAGACCTACCTGTCTTTGTTTTATAAAAGCTGCCATGAGTGTAGGATACTTTTAAGTAATTAAGTATTTGTTGTTGTTGATCATTTGAAGCAGGATTTTTCAAAGTTTGCATAAGTTGTTGCAGTGCTTGTTTATGTTGTACAGGTTGTTGTCCCATTCCTGTCATTTGTGGTCCGCCAGGCCGAATTTGTCCAACAGGACATTCCAGGGTTTGATTCACAAATGTTGTTGCTGGTTCACATTTTGCACCATTCCAATAACTTGCTGCTGCTAATAATATAGATCGAATTTATAACACATTTCATAAATCTATTTTATCTACATGAATAACAAACTCGGGAGGCTTTCAATAATTGGGACAATTTACTTTGTCATTTAATATTTCAATGAGATATTTATTTTGGGCATCATATAATAAGTAAAAACCAAATATTATCAAGTATATTATATAACTTAATTATCTACTGAACGTATTTTAAATTTAGATAATGAATTGATCCAATTGTCTAAGAAAACAAAACTAATAATTTACAACTTTAATATTACCTGAGGCTGATGCAT